AGTGTTGCAGTCCGATCAGATTGTTCCCAAGTTCTAACTGCACAATGCGAACTGTCTCTGACCTTCAGAACATACAGTGGCTGCTCGGAGTGAGACTTGTTGTTCAGGCTGTGCCTCACACCGTCTGATTAAGGCAACCTTTGGGTAGTCTGCCTCAACTCAGCTCTGACGTGCTGGTCCTGATCCTGGTCTGTCTGCATGGGCAAATCATGGTCTCACAACTGACCTGCCAGGGTTCTGCTTCCTCTGGGTCTCCCCATTAGCGGTTGTGGGTTCTGCACCCTGCTCCAGAATGTGTACTCCTCCCCCTCCCACCACCACTTGTTTGTGACGGTTTTAAGGCTCAGGTGTGGGTACCCGGCAGGGGGTGCAGTTGCTTTAAAAGAAATTTACATTTAGATATCACCTTTCCTGACCTCAAACTGCTTTGCAGTTGATACTTGGGAGCGAATTCACCCACAGCAGTCTGCTCTCGTGCAGCGTTTTATGACCCAGAGGTTCCTCAGTCTTTTGACTGAGGGACGTCTCTGACAGTGCAGCACTCCTACAGTACTGCATTGAAGTGTGTTCATATAGCTGCTGTACACTCCACGCTATGGCTACCGGACTGTAACTTTGTGCAAAATCTTCACCCAACCCATTCCTTTAAATTTTTTTTAAAAATCAGTCTGGGGGCAGGGGAAAGGTCAGTTTTCTTCAACTGTATTCAATTGTGTGAGGGATCTTCCAGTTGTTTCTCTTACACAGTGCTCAAGTGTCTAAGGGCTGTCAAGGCCCTCAATCTGCCCTCTTCTCGTGATACAAGACTGTTGATGGAAACCTGGAGTTTCCCCTTCAGTCAGTAATTAGCAAGTAAGGAGGAAACAAGGCCGGCATTGATAAGAACTGAATTGTTTCAGGTTTCTTCCAGTAACTAAGCTGTTCTTTGTTTGTGTGTGTATCCGTCTGTTGCCATTCCCTATAGTTAGACTTCTCTCTGTTTCCCCTTATCTCTGGGTTTCTCATTAACTTTCTCTTTCCCTGACTTTTACTGGTGCTACTGGTTTGGTTTGTGTTTTGTGCTGTTTGCAACAATCAATAAGTTGTGTGGTGAATGTGTTTTGGTTAGTAGTGAGGGGGTTGCAGTGCTTGTGGCCACGCTTGCTGAATGGCCATTGTCTTGGACCTCCTTAACCAAATTAAAAAACCACCCTTGGCTGCACCATTGCAGGGTTTCACTGCCGTGTCTGTGACTCAGGCTCTCACGTCTCCAGGAAGCTGCCTGCAGATGTTGAGTAGCTTGGTGGCCGGGGAGCGCACGTGCGAGCTGTGCATTGAGCTGAGTGGCAAGTTCTGCTTGTGCAGAGCTAACCAAGGGTAGAGAGAGTATATCTGTTCCAGTGGCACAGTCACTGGACTGCTACACCCCTGTCGATGTGGCTGGTCCAGCCCTGCTGCCTGGTGTTATAAAAGCTGTGGGTGAGGAGAGCAGGGATTTTTGGGGAATTCTGTTTGCGTCAAAAGGCTCAGGAGGATTTTTTGGATGGGATGTTGCTTTCCTCTGGTATTCAGCCCAACTCTGATCTGATGGAACCATGTGAACGGGCTTGAGATATGGAAGTACTTTGTCATCTCATTTTCAATTTGCTCTTGGGTTCCCATTGTCCATCTCCAATTGGCCTTGAAGGTGGTAAACAGGACAGTGAATGAGCTATTTCTGACAGTCTTGTAGCATAGTAATTTTTAACGAGATTAGCATTTTATTCCAGATTAATCAACTTTAAAATATCTCAGGCCTGTGGGATTTGAAATTATGACTGTACTGTCCCTGTGTGTTAGAGAAACTAAACATCTATTTTTGTTGGTGCACCAGATGCCAACAGTCCCCATTCGGAAAGTTTGGGGGTTTTAGCTTTGGTGATCTCAGCTAATCAAGCTGCTCAGTTTTACACCTTGGCAGTTTCTGCTCCTGGGTTCCTTTTTCAGTGGTGTTTAACATTTACACACCTGCCTTTTTCTTGTCCCTGCACCAAGCATTTCCCTTTTTGAAATTT